TTTTTTCTAAAAGCTCAGCAGTAGCTGTTCGAATGGCCTCTTCTTTCTCTGCTTCATGTTCTAATTGAAATTTCTCGAGGTCTTTGGACTGGACTTGTACTTTTTCTTCCAAATTTCTGGCCCGTTTTGATAAAAACATCATTTCGAATTTCTGTTTCATCGTCGAACGTTTAAACTCTTCAATTCTCCTTTTACTGTCAGCTAAGGAGGCTTTCAGTTCTGATATTTCAGAATCTTTATTCTGTAAAGCCTCTTCTAAGCTTCCAGGTTTTAATGGAAAATTGTCCCTTTCTTTCCCACAAGTGGGACAAGAATCGCTCTTCATCTCTTCACGCCTTTTGAACATTTTGTACGAATAAGTGTTTTCCTCACGATTGCGTATAGACTCACCGTTTCAAAATGTGAAAGCGTTCCATGTCACGGCCTATACATATAGACTTTTCAAGCAGCATCATCGATGATGTCGTTGTGACATCATAATTAGAATATTCATTAGAATAATGCGTGTCATTAGCATGTCACTAAGTGTAGCTGTGACAGTAAATTCATGATTGAGCATGAACTTTGTTGCCTTCATACTTGCGTTAATTGAAGTTAATGCATTTTATTTCATTTCAGTGGGGGAGAAAATGTGATGTGTTGCTGTGATGTTAAAGTGACCTCTAAAGACTGAAGATTCTCTTTTCATGACAAGCAGCCAACGAGCTCTTTGTTTTATTTGCGTTTTTATTGTTAATTATGCTTATTTGCCTCATTATATTTGTACAGTTCAGCGATGTGCCTTTGTATTTGTGTATTTTTATTTTACTTTATCAGTTCTTACGGCGTTTGGAGCCTGGCTTGAATGTGTTAAGAAGTTACAGTGTGGAGAAAAGACGGTAAATGTCAAACTGAAGCTTCGTGAAGACATGTTGCAAAGCTGTGTCTGTGACGTCATGCTACACCCGCCCTCACGTTTGTTGGATAGCAATTGAGATTGGCAGGTGTTCTCAACCAATCACAAGCCGGCTTTCCGCTACCTTCCGGTTGCTAACGCTAGCATTAAATGCTAGTTTGCTTCTTTTTTTTTTTACTTTATTGAAGAAAAGAACAAACTACAAACCGGATTCCAAAAGAGTTGGGACACTAAACAAATTGTGAATGGAACTTTGGAACATACGTCACTACGTTGGGGGCGGGGCGGTCCCGTCTCGACCGCCATTGTTACCATAGATATATAAACGCTAGATCCCTCATTAGCTGCTGCGGCGCAGGAATTTCGGTCGCCATTTTGGAACGGTCGTCCTTATTTGGTTAAGTTTTAGCACTTTGCAGCTTATTTCTGTTCAAATCGACGGACTGCTGACGTCATGTGTCGGGGGATAACTTTTCACAGTAAGATGAACATATTATTGTTAGTATTTTGTGAATATAATATTACTGTACTGTATTTATGTCCACCAGCTGATGTGATGTTCAGTGTAACACGGTGTTCAGCTGCAATGAAGCTGACTGAGATCTGATGACAGGAATATTTTGCTAACAATCATCCTCACAATTTCAGTAGCTTTGGTTCAATATCAACAGATATGCATCAAAACTGGAGTTTTGTTTAAGTTCTAGGAAATAAAAAAATAAAACTAGTGAGAATATAGGAAGTAGAAAATAAGCTTGACCTCCTCTGTACAATGTTTTTGTGTAGACACAAAT